TATATATAAGTTTTATATATATATATATATTACATATTATATATATATTTATACATATATATATATAAATATATATATATATAATAAATTTTATATATATACATATATATATATATATATATATATATACATATATATATAAATATATATATACATAATAATAAAAATATATATATGTTATATATATATATATATATATATATATTTATATATATATATATATATATATATATATATATATATATATATATATATATTTACATATATTATATACATGATCATATTATATATATATATATATATATATATATATATATATTATATATATATATATATATATATATATATATACATATATAGATATATACATATATATATATATATATAAACTATTTATATAATATATATATATATATATATATATATATATAATATATATATATATATATATATATATATATATATATATATATATATATATATATATATATATTTACAATACACGTTTCATTAAATAATATAGACAAGTTTGTCTATTTTTTTATGTAAATTCTTTTCATAACGTCTAATAAATTTAATAACATTATAATTGAATGAAGAAAGAAATTCAAATATTGATCCATAATTTTTTTAATACAATATAAGCTTTCGGCTTACATGAGCCATTATCAAAGATGTCAATTACAACATATTAAGCAATATACGGACAAGACAGTGATGACAGTCTGTGAATGTTTAATTTGGTGATCTCTTCAATTTATAAACAACATGCATATAAGATGCTAGAAGCGAAAATCGCACCGCATCTCATGACGTCACACATGACCACACAATAACATTTTTATTGACAGACAAGCATAAGATGTGTGATCTTCTTACCAACATTGTCAATATTTCCTCTAAAAACTCCACAACCTATAATATTTGTTACCGTCTCACTCCTAAGATTTGGCTATCTTCTTTGATGAGACCTGATGGTATTAATAGCAGTCGTCATATTGATAGCTAGAACTGTCGTGTTGGTGGTGGCGGCTGGTCTTGTAGAAGCGCTGGTGATAATTGCTTGCACTCTTATTGTTGTCTCTGCTGGCGATAGTAGTAAAAGGGGTTGCAGGTGGTGATGGTGGTGACGTTAAGGTGTCGGTGTTAGAATTATAAGTTGGAAGAAAAATGCTGGTGGTGGTGGAGAGCTTTGCAGTGTGCGGTTTGGGGCTTGGATTGGAATTGGACCCCACCTGCATGTGTTTCCCCACCACCAGTGACCAGCTAGTTTTCTCACTTTGCCTCCATGCCGAGTATGTGAAAGGAGAGTTCAGTTTCTTTCTTGCTAAAAATGTGTGTATATATGTGTTATGTGTATACTGTGTGTGTATATGTAAATGAGAGAAAGAGACAGGCTGCCAAACTGAGAGAGACGGAAGTAGAATAAGAAAGATAATAGTAACAGTTACTGGGTAGGAGTATTCAATCAAAGTAAGACAAAGCAGAAAATATAAAAAACCAAAAGGTTTTTATTTTTATTATTATTAATCAAATTATAGGTAATTTCTTACTTTACAGCAGTGGCAAAGAAAGTTCTCTTAAAAGTAAAATTATAGTCTTTCTGACCACCATATTTCTCTCCAGACTACACTTCAGTCTACATCCACAGTGTTATAGAGGGGGCTGGAAGAGCATTCAGCCCCATCACTTTTTATTGGAACTAAAAACTAAATAAGGGGTTACTTTTGTTTCCTTTGTCTCAGTCTATGATAATGCGACCAAGTTGAACTATATAATTTTCCGAAATCAATATTGCTATTAATTTTCAAAAAAATTATAATATTTCATTATCCATTTTTTTCTGTTTTCTTTTTTTGAAACATCTGATTCTAAAATCATTTCATGTCTTATATGCAGAAAAATATCTAGGTTTTATTTCAGAAAATAATTACAAACAAACATTAAAAAAAAATTGCATTTAGAATAAAAACAAAAAAGCCTTGCAGTAGTAAATTTGAATGAAGAAAATAATTAATTTATGAGAGAATCAGAAAAAAAACAAAAAAAAAACAATGGTTCTCCACTTCCTATCCTTTTTTGTTCTTCGTAGATTTTGTCATTTTGTTATCTCTTCTAAACCTTGTGCCGTCATCCATTTTCTCAACCTCACTAGGGAGGTTATATTTTGTTTTCCTCTATCCCCTCTTACCTTCAGTCTATCCTGTGAGTATCAAATTTTCAAAGCCCTCTTTTCTCATTACGTGTCCTAAAAATTTTGACTCTTTCTTCCTGATGTTAAGTATAAGTACCCTTTTATTTCCATTTTCTCTAAAACATTGTCGTTACTCACATGTTCGGTTCATGGTAGTTTCAGCATCCTTCTGTAGAACCACATTTCTGTTACTTCAAATCACTTCTTCATCTTTGAGGAGATTGTCAGCATTAAACTTAATATTTGATTTAACTCTCCACTTTAATTTCTGATTTCGCACCCTCTTTTTATTTTGCAGTGCCATAGCGAGGTATAATGTAAAACTTCTGCATTTTAGAAGAAAAAAATTATATGCTTTTTGCAAATTATTAAAAGTTTATGGCACAAGAGCAAGTTGAAAAATGATGTTCATCTTCCTTGAATCTCATGTTGATTTATAACTAATGATCCAAGCGAAGGATGTGATTGTTTTGTTTTGCCTCTTAATTAAACAAAAGATACTTATTAACAAAAACATTTAAATTGACAAAATTCTTTGCAAATATGGACTGTGCTTGTTAGAACTTTTTTTTGAGTTCCTGAAGCGATGGTGGACCAGGAATTTTTTTGATTGGTTCTTGAATTCCTTTCTTAATCAGACCCAAAGCTCCAACCACAACAGGAACAGTTTTAGTTTTTTTAAGCGCAATATTTTGTTCTATCTCTATCTCCAGGGTCTTGTATTTAGTTACATTATTATTATTATTATTATTATTATTATTATTATTATTTCCTTTGATTTCTGTTGTAAATTCATTTCTTTCTGGGTTCCAACCAGAGCCCTAAGTCCAGAAATGTCATCATGACATTTTCACTGAGCATTTTTTAGAAAAAGATAACCAGATGATCACACGCATTTTACATTTCAAAAGGTTTGGACAGTACTTGAAAATATTATTATTATCTATATTTGTTGAGTTTTCATACAAGTACTGTTTGATGGTTCTTATTGGAGATAATGTGGCAGCAAGTCTCCTCAGAATTCCAGGACTATCTAATTTAGTAATACTAGCGTTTGCATAACACGTTGAATATTATGTTAAAACACTGGTTCCCATACGATCAACGAAGTTAAGCAACATTAAGTTAACATAATCGGTCCCCATCAGTACCTTGATGGGGACCGATTATGAATAGCAGGTGTGGATTGTGTAATGAATAACAGCTTGGAATTGGAAATTATAGAGCCAAGTTCCAATTCCAGTCAGGTTCATTACATTCACTTATGTGCAAATAACCTTGCGGAAGGTATGAATCCACATGTTTTCCCCTCCCATTTATAGGTTAATTAGTATAACTTATATCAGCCAAAATCATTATCATCTCCCCACGAAATATATATTCTGGATTTAAATTAACTGCAAAAGGTTGATAAGGCATAAAAAAGAAATCAATCATTCAGTCTTCAACTGGTACAGCTGCCACTTTTATGTTCCTCATTATTATTATTATTATTATTATTATTATTATTACCAGTGATTATTAGCATGTCTTGCACAAGATGAGATGAAATTTCAAAATCTTTCTCAATATTCACGTCATCTTCATTCTTCTTTTTCTTCTTTTTTCTGCTCTTACTTATTATTATTATTATTATTATTATTTGTAGTAGTAGTAGTAGTAATAATCCTTCCAGTAGTATCTTGTGTAAAATATTTTATCAATACTCCCATTTAATATTGTTGCTAATTTAAGTCATACATTTACTTGAATAGTTTAAAGTTTTCTTTAGAGTGCTATGTCTTTTATAGTACAGTTCAAATATTTGAAGTCACCCCTCCAGAATTAGCCTGGGATGAACTTGACAGAAGAGTAAAAAAATAAAGAGCTCTTAGAGTCATTGAAAAAATAATGGAATCAATTATCATACTTAAACTTTGAGAAACTTTTGCACAATGAATGCTAAAAATTCATGCTGCAATAATCTATACTAAGGAGGATATCTGATGAGAGTAAAATTTAATTCAAAAATTTTTTTTTTCTTTTTGCATAATAAAATTTCTAATAAAAATTATCTCACTTTTTTAATCACATATAATAATTTTAATTTAAAGTAAAAAATAACTACTTTTGGGGCCAGTTTAAAAAAAATTAACAGTGGTGCCTCAAACTTTTGAACTGTCATGCATATAATAGCAATTACTAAAGCATTAATAGATTTTTATTTATTAATCCAGCATAATTTTATTATTTTATGTATGTATATGTATACCTTTTTATATTGATTTCTAATTTAATCTAATCTTAACTTTAATGTACTAATACATTGTACTTAGAGTATATTTTCATGTTATTTTTGAATTACCATATACTTGTATTTTGATTGATCATCATAAGTTATGTGACAATGTTTCCCCTACTGAGGACATTTGTTTGGTTTTGAATGCTTAAAACCCTTTATTTTGCAATCAAAATTATCACTTGATAAGACACCAGTAGTGTTGAAACAAAATTACAATTTTTGAGGTGATATTAAAACATGCATATGTTAAAATTTTGAATAAATATTGTTTGCTTTAGTTTTTTGTTTTTTGTTATTTTCCTCCCATTGCCATATTTCAGCTTGTTTCCTCCAAGCAATTATTTGAATTTTTCTTTTTATCAAGGTAATTAAATATTTCCTGATCAATTAACTTTTTCCTTTATTCAAAATCATCAGCATTTTACCAAAAAAAATAATTAAAAGAAAAAAAAAAATGAGCTGAACATGTTGAAAGATTTTGTTTTTTGTTACCTTTCTAAAAATCTTGTTCTTAATCATTTTCAGGACCTTAACATTACAGATAGTGATCGAGAATGTGTGATGGATTTAAGAAAATATATGGCAAACAACCCATTTACAGTCCACAGTGTAAGTTTGTTTTATTTTATTAGCAAAAAAGTTAGCAAAATAATTACCTTAGAATTTTGCATGGTTTCTTTTTCTATGGTATATTCTAACAATTCCAAAAAACTGTTGCAGATTACTATGTTGTTCCTCTTATAATTAGTCCGCACTTTGTAGTGGGAATCAAGACTTTTGATATGAGTGTATGTACATTGTTGTATAGTAAATATTTATGGGCTCCTCGAACATTTGTCATGCAAACAATATTGGCAGACACATGTGAGTCTGGGAAAAAATGAGTTACACAAAGCAATGAAATTAAAAAAAATAACTGCAATTATATTCATGTATTAACAAAAATCATTGCATTTGTACACAAATGAAAAGAACGGAAAAGACATTGAAAGTATCTATAAGAATGTGCTTGTGAAAAACAACTATGTGTGTGTGAGGGAGGGAGCAAAAATAAGAGAACCGAGGAAATGAATGTGACCCATCAGTAGAATTCTGTTTGTATGTTCAACTACGTCTGGAAGCAAGAGTTAAAAAGAGATAGAATATACCTGCTTTTTTATAGACTTAAAGAGTGCTCTCTAACAAGCATTTTTTGCAAAGCCAAGTGTGTTAACCCACAAAACGTTAAAATAATTTTACAGAAGATGACTCAGATAAATTGCTTAAATTTTCTGACTAATTGCTTTTTATTTACATTGTGTAATCATGAATGCCTTTGATTTTCTAAAATTAACATTAAAAATCTGGTATTGGATGGTGACTCTACTTGGTGGAAAAGAGATTTTTTATTATTTGTATATCAATGCCAACTCTTGCATTTTTGAGACATCAGGCATTAAAAGGTTATAAGTATAAACCTATAATACTAGATTGTACAGTTAGCCTTAATGTGTTAAAATAAGAAAAGGCTTGGTTTATATGCTTTATTATTAAAACCATCATGCTCATCTTAGGTGTACCTGCATGTGTCTAACATATTTTAAAAAATATTTGGTAATCTCAATTTGGAATTCACTGCAGTAGATTATTCCCATTCTGCTTTCCTTGCTTATGGCATATTTCTCGCCATATGTATCCACCTGTGTGTCATTTGTCTGTTTCTTCCATGGAACTGTCTTTTCAGCACTCCCAGACCTGCCATAGAACCAGATCTTTTAACCAACACTTTAGTTTGTGGGTCCAAATTATAAGGCATATTATAATTTATCATCTCAAAAGCGTGGCCATAAATAAAGGTTGTTTTATTACTGATAGAATTGTAATAATCATAGCAATAGATTTCTAATTTTGCCATGGTGTGTACAAATTATCATGTTAAAACAGATAGCATATGAAAGAAAGTCCCAGAGAAACCAAGATATAACTGCCTACAGTTAAAAAAACCTGAGTTTGTTTTGGATAATTGCAGGAGCAAACGGTTTCTACTGTTTATATTAGTTGATAGGATCCCAGGGCCAGGTCATATGGAAAATACTGATGAATTATAAAATAAGGTTTTTCTGTAGCAAGTTGTAATTGGTTCATTTGATTCCAGTTAAGGAGATATTTTCTTTATTACAAGTTCGAGATTTTCTCAGATAAGCTTAATTTTCTAGCACAAAACATTTGCTAATTACAGTTTTAGATTCATATTTTTTTCTGAAACTCTGCCCTTCAGGAAAAGTTATTTCTCTTTCAACATTAATATTCCTTCACACTTCAAGATTTCAATGACTAATCCTCTAAATTGCTTTTCTGCCACACAACTGAAAAATCTGCCACATTTGATAATAATTTACAAGCAGTAAAATCAATCCAGACTTGTACTTTTCCACCATTAGAAATTTGAGAAAATAAGTACTGATGACACTACTTAAATAGAATGGACCAGTTGTAAAAAAAAAAAAAAAGTTTAATTAATGCTAATCTATAAAATTTATTTCTAGAAATATTTTTCTGTATTTTTTAACAAGTAGACCAGTTTAAATGCCAAACTGATCTAAACATGTGTCCATTACTTTTCAGAATTGGCTTTCTTTGGGCTGCTTTGCTATAATAATCAATAATTGTATTCAACTTTTCCTTATGGTTTAGGTCAATATTGAAAATCGTCAGTAGTTTTATAATCAATCAAGTAAAATGTCATTACAGATAATAAACAATAGATCCTATCTTCACAACCTACTGATATAAAAAGTTACAGCATTGGTTTCATAATTTGATGCCAAGAAACAATGTTATTGTCATGTAGATGAGTGAAAGAGCTGAATGTTAGTGTTAGCAGCTGAGCATTTACCCTACCATCTCAAACTGTTTAAACCTACTTTGAATATCTTTTTTTTTTCTTTATTGTCTAAGTATTAAATATGGTTCAATTACACATTTTGCCTCACATTTCAGACTTGTTCCTTACCAAGATTATTCCGCCTTTTCCGAGGTCTTGGACTACGACACTTAATTATAGTGAATGATCGGAATGAGGTAAATTCTGTTTTGTATTTTATTATTTTAATCATTTTATTCCAAGCAAGGTGACAAAGCCACCAAGAAAAAAAGGGGTTTAATGAGAGTGAAATGAAACTGAGACAATAAAAGAACTAGAATAAAACAGAAGATAAAGATTGAAGTTGCATTTAAAATTTGAAAAATCATAATTGAAAGGAAAGCAAGAACCCAGAAGAGAATTTCACAAGTGAGAAGTGTGAGAGAAGAAATTATTTGCAGAGGCTTTAGTTACATCTAGCAATTTCATCTGTAAAATGATGAGAACTAGTTGCCAATCTAGGACTGTGCTTGAATTCATGAAGTCAAGGTACTGAAGAGAAAAACTCACCAGAACAATTATCATGAAAATATTTATAGAAAAGGCACAGGAAAGCAATGTTACAGTAGTGTGAAAGTGACAAACTGAGATACCAGCTTAGGACTAATAACATTGGCGGTTCTTTGGATTCTGTCAAGAATCTCTTGATATATAAAAACACCAGACTAAATATGGCAGCAATATTCAATGCAGAGACTAATATTTGACTTGTAAAGTTGCAAGATAAATTCTGGCAAGACAAACTGTCTAGCAGAACACAGTGAACCAACTTTCTTGCCAGTAGCAAACCTAACAATTGATTCAAAATAATTGTACCACTTCAGGTTAGTGTAAAATGTTATAAGGCACAAGGAGTTATTCGCTTGGAAGTTAGTATCATCCATGCTAATGGAAAGATAAAAGAGATTCTATATGTCAATTAAAAGAAAATGCTTTCATTTTAGAGGCATTATATTTATTATTCCATTTCTTACCCCAGTTAACAGCAGAAAATAGAACATTAATCTTTCTAGAGATTCAGCCTAGATCTAGAAAATGACCCTCATGGTTGGCCATCTCCACTTCAAAAATGGACAACGCAATCTTCTCAGATTAACTAATTAATTTTAAAGGGAATTTTTTAAAGGATGTTTCAAATTGTTTTAAAAGCAAAATTTATGAGAAAATGCAACTTTAAAATTGAATTGTTCCCATAAATGAGAGATTGTAAATAAAGAATGTTGAATGTATATGGAACAAAATTAGAACAAAAAAGTACTTGCCATATTGTCTGCTAGACCCATGCCAGTGTTGACAGTTTAAGATTTATTTAATGTCATGTGCACATTAAGCTGACCATTCTTTTGATTGTCTTTTAATTAGTAATTTTTATCATTTTAAAAGCTTTACTTCATTATTATTGCTATATTGTTGCAATAATTTGATATCATCAGATAGTCTATAGCATGGGCAGAGGCAAACAACAGCTAAGGGCTACTCAAGACAGAGGGTTATTGAAGACAGTTGTTGTGTGAGCAGTAAAAATAAGGGGGTACAATTTAAAACAGATATGTGAGAAAGATAACAATTAACTGCAGACTTGAAGATTGTAGTGGTCAGGAAAGTATCCCCCCACCCTATTGAGATTCTGTTTCATAAAGCAGCTGTTCTTAGGAAGAAGCTATCTGAGTGGAACTTACTGCTTGCTAAAGGAATACAAAGGGAATAGGGGTGGTTCACCTAAATGTATACAGCATGGTGGGTTATAGCTAGAAGGTTTAGAGTTAGGGGAACTAAGAAATTTAACTCATTTAAACATTTTCCATGGAAATAGCAACAGAGTAGAGGCATAAAACGTTTCATCTGCAGAAAAAGGGTTGTAATGGGGAAAAGAATTCATCACCCACAATATCACATAGATGATTTTGGACTCGACTGGAAAGTGAGAACTAGGCAGCACCAGCCCAGATATAGCAGAGATAGAGCATAACATGAGGAGTCAGGTACTTACTGAAGCAATACAAGAAACTGACCATTTTTCCAGCATTTTTAGCAGTACGAGTATACGAGTTCCACTAGATGTTTGAGGCGAGCTTAAATTTCCAATGGGCATTCAAGGCAAGGGGCCTCATTGAGAGAACACACATTCATTACAATAGATGGAAATTTGGGGCTGTTCAGTGATGATGGAACATTATAAGTTTGCTTTTTGAGGTATTGAATGTGAACAACTAATTTTCCTTCCATTAAGCTGTAAAAACTAGATCAGAGATCAGTTGCCAGACTCTGGTCATCTAGATCTTTAGAGGTGCACTCAAACACTGTCATATGACAGTTATACACTGTATAAATATTCACAAGAGGTCAGAGTATACTCTTGGGCAGATCATTAATATAAAGCAGAAAGAGGGTTGAACCAAGAAGTGAACCATGAGGGATGCCTGCATTGGCCTCATGGGCCTTGGAGGACTGGCCATTAATAACTAACTTCATGAACTTACCTGATAGAAAAGACTTGATAATTTGAGAAAACTCTTCCAGTGATTCCATAGCTGAGAGCTTATATAGCAACACCCTATGCCATGCCTTGTCAAAGACCTTTGTTATGTTTAATGCGTTCCTACTTGTGATGTGTCAAATTGATGAAGATAGTAAAGGGAAGTGAAAAGAAAGGACTAAACGTCAATTGTATGAAGACAGGATGTATGGTTGTCAGCAAAAGTAAAGGCCCAACGTATGAACTGTGAATGGAAGACAGTAAAATCAAAAGCAAGTAGAAAAGTTTAAATATCTAGGAAGTGTTTTAACTGGCAACAGAAGATGTGACATTGAAATCCAAAGGTGCATTAGAATAGCAAATAATGCCTTCCAAAAGTTAAACAAAGTATTAAACAGGAAAATTCTATTAGAACTCTTATATAATATCAATCCTCTTATATGGCAGTCAATGCTGGACAATCATCACAGATGAAGATATACCTGAGGCAACAAATGGGGTTCTACAGAAGGATGCTGGGAATACCATAGAATGAACATGAGAGTAATGAAGAATTTCTACAGAAAATGGAAATAAAAAATACACTTTTTAGAATCAGAATGAAAATTGAAACTTCTAGGGCACATAAGGAAAGAGGGCTTAGAGAATTTGACACTAAAAAGAAAGGAAAAATGTACAGGAAAAAACAGCAAATAACCTAATTAGCTTGTGTAAATAGATGACAGAACTGGGAATAGAAAGAATCACAAAAAGGCAAACCATAGTAAGAGATACAAAAAACAGGAAGTGGTAAAGAGCTATGATTGCTCATGTCATTAAGGAACATGGCACATAGAAGAAAAATGTTGATAGCAGACAAAGCATTTTGGAAACCTGAGTAGCTTGAAATTAAAGAAACTTTATTTACTAATATAAAAATTAATTTGAATAATTCTTTTCTTCTTCAGGTGACAGGAATGGTTTCGCGAAAAGACTTAGCCAAGTTTCGAGCTGAAGCAAAACGTGGAATTGTCCAGATTGAAACTCTGGAAATCTCTGACTTATAAATCATCCTGTGCATTGTTAAAGTTAAAGCCAACACCTCACATTTATGATTCCATTTGAATTCTCTATTTTCATGATCGTCTACTACCTAGATACACTTCGTTTGGATACCCAGAGAACTGTCAAATGTTCAGAATTTTATTTTATTTAAGGGGTTGAATTGCAAAAGTGTCTTTTATAAACAAAAATAAAAACAAAAAAAATAAAGGGGAGAGAAAGTCAAAATTAAAAAAAAATTAATAATGGAACAAAAGATTAACTAGCGTTTGGCTTATAAGTGAAAAAAATTGAAAGATTGGAGAGAAAAAAATGATAATATAAAAAAGAATGAATAATGCAAGAAGCATTATAAAATGAATTTAAAGAAAACAAATTAACAGATGTACATAAAATTGTTTTATCTGGGAAAGAAAAAATTGTTGATAGTTTGATTATATTCATACTTATAAAATGCTAATAAAATTAAGATGATTATCATGTTATTGTTAATATTTACAGAAAGAAATGATATTTCATGAAAGTTAATGATTTAAAAGTTTTCAAACATTTTTCTTTTTTCTCCAGTGTGCATAAAATTATTGAAATTTGGGAAAGAATTTTTTAGAGTTTGCAGTTTCACAAAGTTTGTTTTTTATTAAATGAACTATGTACAACTTTTTTAATAATTAATTATAACAGCTCATTCTAGTAATGACTATATATGGGGCATTAAAGTCACCAGCTAAAAACCTTTGACTCAAATTGAGTAGATTCATGATTTTACATTCACACATACACAGTAACATTTAGTTTTATAATTATTAAGAAGGAAAGATGAACAATTGCTAAAAATACTGAGTTTGCACAGAAAAAATGATGAATCAGTAAAACATCCATAAGAACTGGATAAGGAAAAAATATAAAATGTAACAAAAGCAAGCAAAATCACCTTGCATTCTTTTCTTTGTTAAACAATCCATGGAGATCCAATTGTTTGCAGCAAGTATTGATTTTTTTTCATGAGGCTGATGGTGCTAGCTCAACATCCAAGATGAACTGCTGTACAGGATGGCCGAACGCCAGCTGTTCTTATATTTATCTGTAGCTGGGGAAGAAGTGGAATTGGGTTTTTTGTTGTTTTTGTTTTTTAAGTGCAAAATAAATACAAAATGTCCCGGTCTGGATTTGAACTCAGTTTGCCAAGTCCATTCTCCATGCCACTTGGCAGTTGTGGCACACCTTTAAAGTCTAAATTCATTCTAGTTTTAAGAGCATCAAAATTAACCTTGGACTTCTTGAATTTTCATAGTTTAAACTGATAACAGTAACAGTAGACAAAATAGAATAAATAAAAACAAACATGATTCTTTAAATTATTTTGAGTGCAGAAAATAACTTTTCAATTCTTAGATTTTAGCTATAGCAAAAAAGAAAATGAATGTAAATATGAAAATAGTGAAAAGATAATTTCAGGATAATTCACAATGTCATTAGTTATCCAAGTTGCAAAGAATTGGTTTGAGAAGCATTCTGGAGACTTCCAACAAAGGGAGTGGCCACCATATTTGTCCAGTAAGAACCCATTTGAACATTAATGGGATGTGGTGGAAAGGTCTGTTCACATGTAAGATCCTGCACAGACAATTATTAGGGTGCTGTAAACAACTATCAGGATGACATGATCAGGGAGGTTGACAACTTCCAGAGTTTTTCTAACCTATATGGAATTAATATGATGTCAAGTTGCTGCACTTCACCAGGTTAAATGGAGTCCTACACAATATTAAGTACTTTTCTCATGACTTGGCATGTCAGTTTATTATCTTTAATTTTACCAAACAATTTACTGAAATATTGTAGGTTTTGTAACATTAAAATATTGAATTTTATGTTTTCTTTTTTGATATTAGCCTCATTTCTCAAAATCTATTTTATGATAAGCATTTTATACCTTTCATCAATACACAAAACACTCGCCCATAACTGTTGATATACATGTTCCTGAAAATAAGTTTGAGGGAATGTTGAATTTAATGAGTATATTTGAACAGTCTTAAAAGATTGGATATTTGATCAAATATGTTGAATGTATACATGTTTTTATTTTTTCTTCATAAAAGTTGTACTTGTTTCATCTTGTGTTATGTTTTTTTATCTAGTTTGCTGTACCCTCCACCCACCACTACCACCACTTCTATTTTAAGCGGTAAAGCTATTAGTTTTATTTAAAAATTGAGGTCAGTCATGAGTGGCTAATTTTTCTTTGAGTAAGGATGCTATGTTTTGTCCTAAAGTTTAGAAAAAACAATTTGTATGTAATTTCCTCATGCTAGTGTCATGGTCTACACAAATACAAGCTTGTTTATTATTGTGTTAGGTGTATTTTATGATGTGATTTAGTGATAAACATCTCGCAGATGTTTATCAATTATCAAGGAAGACTCAGAAATTTTGATTTCTATTTCAAAAACGGTATTATAAATGTGGCTATTATTAATCTAGTTTCCTTAATATAAAAGCCTTTAATATTAGAATACATTTATTTTCTAGATAAATTAGTTTTAGGTATGTGCAAAAAGTATTTATTATAAAGCGAATATTCTTATTAAAAATTTAAAAAATAGCTTAATTATATTTACCCAAATAAAATATTTGTTCTAGTTTACTTTCTAAAACTAAATCCTTTGTTTGAAGTATAAATAATTTTGTAGAGAAACTGCCAAAGAATTCACAAATATACTTTTGGCCCATTACATTTAATTTACTGCTGTAAAAATCATATTTTCAAAAACCAAATGGCAACAACTTCATTTTAAACTCCTCACTGTCAAGCATTGGTTCTTAGCAATGAAAAGTACAAATCCCATGGTTCATATTTTGTATAGAAAAAAATGTTCTTAAAGATTTTCAATTATAAGTTGGTTTTCTTTTTTTTGTATGAAAAGATGAAAGTTTATTTTTAAAAGACTCTTTAAGAAAAATATTCTGTGAAAATGTTCCTTTTCTAATTAGGGGAAAAATAATTACCTTTAGTTTTGAAAAACACTTTAATTCTTGACAAAGTTCATCCTGAGATATTATTTATAATAACTTAGGGGACTGTTTCCCCCAACTCCAAGAAAATTAATTCTTAAAGACTTGAATACCAAATTCAAGACAAGATTTATATATACAAGTGGACATTGAAGTCAACACCCAGTGGTGACGGTCTGTTTCATGATTATATGCAATGACTTGGTGATTGCATTAAAGCATGAAAGTTACTGTAACTGCCAGGTGTTGACTTCAGTGTCCACTTTTATATTTACATACACTATCCCTGATATTGAGCGTTTTAACTCAAATATAGCATACCTTAACACTAATATATATGATATAGGTAAGATGAGAACAAATGAAGTATAATTTCACTGTCCATAACATTTAATTTAAAAGAAGGTCCAATACAGAGTAGAGCTAAATATTATTTATTATAGGAGATTAAAACAAAAACATATTAAAAACCGTTACACAATGTGACAATAGCAATCATGTTTCAACACTATAATTGTGTCTCCTTAGGCGGTGGTAAATTACAGGCAAGTGAACGATTAATTTTATTTCAAAAGCAGAATACTTCCTCTTTTATTGACACACAATCTTGCAGAGCTGCCAATAATTTCTGGAACTGAATTTGCGAGATGCTATCCGTTGTTTCATTCTATTTGCAAGCACTAAGTTCGCTTTGTTTTGAGAGAGCTTGGATGTCCAGGGACTTTTTGAAGAGAAATGATTCCGCACTGCAGAAGTTGGTATGAATACCACGAATGTTGGAGAAAGAAACGTTGAAGAATTTAGGGGTTTTGTTTTTTAGCTGGTTTAGGTTTATGTCTTTGGTTCTTTATGGTAATGGTGTGTTATTTTGGTAAGGAAAGGCCTATGGCAGTAGTAGTAATGGGTCGTCTAATGTAACATGTGCAGGAAGGGAACAGGCGCAGAGTGCAACATAGTGTGACCTCAGGGTTGCCCACCGGATGTACTTACAGGGACACCCTTCCATGCGTGATATGGCACTGCAAAAACCCCGATATTGTGCAACTGTTGATCAGAGCAGCCTCTCAAGATACTACGCAAAAGTTCGAGCCCCTAACTACCAGTCGGGATGCAGCAACCATAAAACTACCAACCCGGTACCGTCAGTATAAACATACGTTGCCACCATCCACACAAATCACACACACACACACGCACAAAAAAAAAAAAAGAAAAAAATTATGATAGCACCAATAATTCCCGAGAAAAGTTATGCAAAGGAATGTGGAAGATTCCACATTTGCCAGTTACACCCCGCGGGAAAATGCACTCTTCCCCTGTGGTAATTATCATCACATACATACATACAGTTCATGCGACAAGCATTCATTGGTTAATCTTCTCAAAACTAACTCGCCGATTGGTCAATTCCGACCAATCAGATATCCTGCATGCGAGGAATGAAATTTCCCGCTCACTAAGGTTGAACCGATCACGTGATACACCATCTTATATAAACAAAAACACGAGTAAGCTCTCTCTCTCTCTCGCGTCTCATTCCTTGCTGCCAAAATGTAACCTTCAAGAGCGCCTGTCTTACCCATAAAGATCATTACCAACATTCACGCAAGTACGAACTCTAAACTCTTTCAAGAACTCTATCTACAAATTTCTAAGAAAAGTGATAATATTCACTACTAAAATAGAAATTGTAATCAGCAAACAGATAACCGGAATTTTCGGGCACACCTGTGTCCTTCATCAGCGATGCGAGAAATAAACAGAGAAACGGGGAAGACTCACCAATGGGTTTTTTTTTTTTTGGCTTGTGTAAACTCGTTGTAGATGGTATTATTAGTATAAATCCGATCCCTGCTTTATTCTTCGCCTGCGAAAACTTTTTGAAAATTATCAGGGGTGAACGCATTAGTTTGTTTTGTCTTTATCGCTATAATTTTGAACTAGGGGAAGAGGTTTTTAGGATTTGGGGCGGGGAAGACGTCCCTTATGT